GTTGGTCACAAGGTACGTTAACTGTTTGGGATCATTCTATCACTTCTTTTAGATTCATTATACAACTTAGACTTACTTCAACACCCAGAAATCCTATAAGGTGTCTTCAATAGACTGATCACGTTTACCAGACCAGCTGGTTTTTCGTGCTTTGTACCAAACGAAACCAAAATGTACAAGAGATACATAATACCAAACCTTAATGAGTCAGCTTTCTCTGGAGAGAAAACAACTTCACTGCTTTTAGCACATCACTAGGATATTACAGTCAAAGGGTAATTTTGGTATATTTCAACCTGGACCCTATTTTACCATGTTTTTGTGTCTAAGTGAACATTAGGGACAACATTTTTTAAAACTGGTCCAGTATTGAGTGAGCGTGCTGCAGCAGCATAACAGGGCTGCATTGTAATCCGTGTGGGCAATATTGCCACGTCAAAGTATGTCCAATAAAGTGCTTGCTTTTGACACCGACTGACTGAGATTCTTATTACAAGTGTCTGACAATATTATGGAAATTATCTCTATAGAGATAGACCTTTTTTGTTTAGCCACCAAACTCCCTTGAGAAAAACAGCAATTATAGAATAATATAATATTAGATTCATCACTTTGTGCAGGCAGAAAGATGTCTAAATGTATCTCTCTGGGCAAATATGACCAATCTGCAGAATCTCAATAGGGAAGAAACATTCAGTGATAAAATACACATCATTAGAATTTATCTTGCACAGGATACCAAGATGAATTTGATGTGTTGACGTGTGTTAATCATTTAGCAGCATGATATACAATTCTATATTGTACATAGCCTTTTTTATATATAGCCTACTTGATGAACTAAACCTAAGCCCTATCCACAGGAAAAAACCTGGCCTAAAACACCTAAAATAACATACCCAAAATAAATCGGGTATAACTCATCAACCATAACTATGCATATTTCTCCTTTTGATAGGTCAGAAGCTAAGGAATATGAATCCACTGTATGTAAACCTATTTCTATTACCATTGCAGAGTAAATGGAATACCTGTGTGCAAACAACTGAACCATTAGTAGTGCTCTAGTAGTTATTTAAAAAGAGTCGTTTTAATGAAAACAAGTGACATAAATATACCTTACTCATTAACTATTTTGTCATCTAGCTACATAAATTGGTAATTTGCAAATGTCAGTAAATGTTTAATAAATTCTGTGCAAAGAAGATAACTTTAAGAGATTGTTTACAGTAATCAGCTACCTAATAACATTGGCGATATATGTTGAAATAAATTTACATACAGTTACAACAGATTTTACTACATGATAGTATGTAGCCTTTTAAATACAAGCACATATTTTTCACGTTGCCTTTTAGTTTATGGTTTTAACAATTACAACGCGAGCTTCCATGGGAGCTGTTATTGTTGTGTGAAATCATTCTGCTCCCTGTACACAAGCAGCAACCCCGACTTTGAGTGGCGTTGCACTTTTTGTAGTTGAACAGTGGAAATTCCCGAGTTCCGAGGTGTCTCGAACGCACCACGATTACTAGGGGTTTTACTATAGACTGTACCGCAACAACAACCACACATGGACCCGAGCTACAAAAACAGCAAAGGTAAAAGTTTAAAAATGGTCCCATTTGTGAGTAAAATAGACGATACAGCAGGTTGTGCTTTACCTTGAGACTGAAAAGTTGCTAACAAGGCGACCTGTCAATTTAACGTTAACGTTAACTTGTCCGTGAGCTTGTTTTGACGGTAAAAGTAAGTTAAACTGTAGCATTTTGGTCGCCTAGAAATGTCTTATTCAGTGGTCGGTTGTTCTAAAAAAAAGTCGGATGTTAATATTTTTTTTACAATAAGTAACTTACATTTTGTTTTGAGCCCGTTTCTTGCTAGCCAAAATTAGCATCCCAATGAATATCACAGTTAAAAATGGATACACATTACTAACCGAGCTGGTTAGCTTAACCCACTTGTTCCCCATAAAAAGGAAGATGGCAAAAAAAAATACAATACTCCTGGCTTCAAAAATACATATGTGCCCAGACCGGTCGAACTTGGGAATTTCCAAGTTAAAATACCGGACCTCAAAGCGTTTCAGGTACGTGATGGTGCATGACGCCAAATGTAAACAATAAACATGGCTGACAGTGACAAACTTGTGTTTCTTTGGCAGGTTGATGCACAGTTAAACCCTCAGCTGCACTTTTGAGTTAATTAAAAGGATGGCCATTTTATTAAAAACAAGTGATAAATATACGTTTATACCGTTAACCCTCAAAATGTGTAGGCTATATTTCCAGATGTTTTCACATTTCTTGTTTACTGTAACAAGCTGCCTAAATAACATTGATAAAATATTTCAGTGCTGTGACTTCTCATAACACATTTGAGGGGTCGTTTGTGTGGTTAGATTGAAATGAGACATTACTGCGGCCATGCACCGTGTTTAGTTAAGTTAGCTCTGCTTTTTGCTGCATGCTCAGTCAGATGCTTGATGTTTGACTTGTTTCGTTTTGGTGGATAGCATGAGCTTTTAGCCGAGCTTCTTCCCGCTGAGTGTTTGTGTTTGCTTGAAAATATGTTGTTACATGATTAGCATTGATGGAAGCTGCACATCCTGCCTCATGCCGCCGCCCCCTTTTGGGTGAATGCACCCCTCTAATTTGACTTGCGAGAAGTGCAGATTCCGGAGTTTTTATCTAACAATAAATAAAAAATATTAGAAAACAGTATTGGGTTTTCAGTGACATAGGAAGACATCTTTTTCTGGTTATCACAAACGAGGCTTTCTCTGCACACCTGACCTCTCTCTGAGATTTTGTTAAAGTAAGAGAGTTTAGGTTAAGGAGTTTGTTTTGAAGGTGAATCAATGTTCAATAGCATACAGTAATGTGTATTAGTCTGACTCCACAGCTCAGCAATACTGTGACACTGTGTGTGCACTTTACTGTACTTCCTTTAAGTGCTAAACATGAACACACACCGTGTTTATTAGAAAAATAAAAAGAGAGGAGACGGTATTTCCAGCAGAGATTTATTGTAAACATGTGTCTCCTGTGACACAGCAGATCAGCGGCGTGTTAGTATGTCTAACGGTCAGATCTTCATATTGAACAAATAAAACAATAACACAAATAAATAATAATAATAATACCATGGAGGAGATCTGGCAATATTCTGGTGAGTTTGACTATTTGAGTGACTGGATGTGTCTCTAAAATGTTCAATTGATTGTACACTTTGCCTAAAGAAATGCAGTATACAGTATATGTGTGTGTGTGTGTGTGTGTGCACCAGTATGCACATGTCCATTGATATAAGGTTTTATGTGAGTGTGTGTGTGTGCATCAGTCCTATGACACACTGCAGTGCTTAACCATATTAGTGAGTTAGCCTGTTGTGTGAAGTCTTACATTATTGTTAAAAGGTCCCGCTTCCCCCATATTGCATATTCCCCTGAATATGCAGACAGTCACACAAGGTTTACTGCCATGTTCCTGACACTGTGATCAGAGGTGCTGTATCTTGTTCTTTCAGATGGCACTTACATCATGGTGTGTCACAAACTATCTGTGATATAGTCTGAGATAAATATTCATCCATTCCCTTTGCAAAAGAAGGCAGAGAAGTCAACCTACATTCGTATTTCCCTTTTTCAGTCTTGTGTATCCCTTTGCATCGTTCATATTCACAAAACAATAAACAGCTTAGTATGGATACAGAGTGGCTGCAGAATTCTGCAAAGCTAAGACTGATAACAGATCTAACCCTGAGCTTAACCTTTACATACTGTGGCTTTAGATTTTCCAGATAGACCCTTTCAGTTTGTTTAAAGGACTGAGGTTCTGACACAGAGCCTGCTGCAGGCGTGAATATTAGAAAAACCAGCCGTCATACTTAAATAGTCTTCCCAGTTCATGTCATGTGCACCCACAGAACACTGTCCTTATTAAGTGGTCTTCACTGAGCTGTGAACCGGTGTTAGGCCTTGGGTTCTTCAAGGCGATAAAGACAACAGTGTGATGTAGTGTGATAACATACCAAACCTAATAAACTGCGACCACTGCATGACAACCAGAGGCAAGAGAAACCAAATTGAGAAGCAGCTTTAAAGGCACATTTTAATGTTACTCTGTGCTGCAGTGTATTCAAAAGCTAATTGTAGCAAAAATCTAAACTGTAGCAGAGCTTTAATTTGTCTCAAAGATAATGAATTCGTTTACCCTGAATCAGTATTGGACTCTATTATAAAGTGTTTTGTGTTGAGCGCTCTCACAGATACAGGTGTAGCCAGATGTTAGATGGTTCACTGGCCCGATGCTGCTTTTACACAGGCGAAGTAGAAGCCCCGTTTATTCACAAAATCCCCACTGTTAACAAGATGACTTGTTAAAAAGTTGCCAAGAAAACCAATGTCAAAACATTATCACTGGTTCTGGTAAGCAGTATCCAGGTTCCCTAAGCTCAGTATTCTGTTAAAGATGAAATAAAATAAAAAAACTGTGTTATAACATACTTATTAAGTTGTGTTCTCCATAAGTAAATTCCAGACAGCAGCATGTATCAAAAATATGGCTAATATAAGGAGGAATATGACGGCGAGGGAACCACCAGATGAGCCAGTTTGATCTAACATTCCTCAAAACAGATAAAGTGAATCATCAAACCTAAATGTGGCATTTTACTGATAACTACTGTTTTTATAATACTGACAAATCACAAGTCATGTCTGACACAAACCAACTAATGACGTCTACTGGTAGTCATTTGCTTTTGAAATAATAAGTAAGTTAACTGCCTGGCTAGCCGCTAAGTTACAGATCACTCTGTTGGTGTTTGTGAACCCGTCCTGTCCACTGCCACTACTGTAACTAATTACTATCATACTACTAGGACTACGACTACAGTACATCACTGCTACTACAGTACAACTAACGGTGCTACAGCTGTTACCAGCTCATTAGTGTTTGCAGCTTACATTGTGTTTTTATTTTCTGTATTTCCCACAGGAGATGAAAGTCTAAGAGAGTCATTCATCAACTCAGACAGTGACAGAGAACACTATTATGAAGGCAAGAACATGGCCCTATTTGAGGTAAGACAAAACAGATATTTTTCCAAATGTACACTGTTTATGATTGTCCACTAAGCTGGTGTATCTAAAGCAAATTCATTGTTGCATAAGATCTATGGTAGAGGAATAACACGTAATTATTTTGTGTGATATAAAATATGAATAACTAATAACATGTATGTTATTTAAAGTTTCTCACACAAAAGTTAAACACAGGTATATGATCAGACGGTTGCTGGTTACATTACCTCCAGATGGAAACGTGTGGGTTATAATAGTAATGATAATAAAAATATTCTGTTTCACACAAGGCAGCAAATTTAAATCAACAGATTATTTTATAAAAACATTAGGTTTCATTAAAAAAATTGATAAAACCAGTTACATTATTAAGTAAAAATAAAAGACAATCAAAGTAAAATCAAAATAGTTGCCCTGATGAAACTAAGTAAGTAGTTTGCAGAGCCCTGACTGCAAAGGCTCTGTTGCCTATATTTTTATGCTGGTACTTAACAGATACAAGACCTGCATGTGGACCTAAAAGTATGAACAGCCTACTAAGGTACTAAGAGGTCAGAAATATAGTGAGAAGTAAGGAGGAGCAAAACCATGAAGAGTCTTAAAAGTAATTGGTAAAATACTGGGGCCATTGTAAGGAGGCTAAAAAGGAATGATGTGGTCACACGTCTGGTTCTGGTTAAAAGCTTGACAATTATTATTAAAGTGTGTATGTGCACCTGCTTGCAGTGGAATGCTAACAATTCATGCATTTTACTCTGTCTCTCTGCAGGAGGAAATGGATAGTACCCCCATGGTATCATCTCTTCTTAACAAGCTGGCCAACTACAACCTGACCCAGGGTGTTCGAGACATGAGGAGGCCGACAGTGAGGATGGGGTCAGGAGGGTCGCTGTCACGGTACGGACCTCTTTTTTTTTTTTTTTTGAGCATAGACAATGAAGTCCTGCATTGGCAGTGGGATCTTTATTGTGCATAAGAATGAATGCATTCAGTCCGACTGCAGTGTTTTGTTAAGCCTTTAAATGCCTTCTTTTACTTCCTGGATTGCATTTTATTGTCTCACCTGAAGTGAAGTGGAGAGTTAAGCATAACAGCAGAGAGCTGATCTGGCCCTGCTGGTTTCATTTTCTTTTCTTTTCTAGGATTCCCCATTGTAACGTTTAATCACAGTTTGTGTGTATTTGTCGTTCAGCATTGACACAGGACCAGTGTCTGAAACTAACATCTGAACCATAAAGATTACCCAGTGAGATATTCACAAACCCCTTTTTGTAGCTAGCAGTTTACTGTACGGCTTTTGTACTACAGGCAATAAAACTTAAATCTACCAATTAGTTCACAATAAATCTCATAAGATGAAAGTCTTTTAGGAAATGACACATCTCTTTCACACAACACAATACAGCCCATTCTTTAGATATGCTTATGAGCTGCTTTAGCGCCTCGTGATTTCATCCCAAAGGTCAAAGTCTACAGTAAATTGTATTTAATGCTTGATAGACTCAAAAAACTCAAAAGCAAGAGTCATTTTTTAAACCTTATCTCTCTGAAACCTGTGTCTGAAGTCACAATTCCAGCTACTCGACCTGCATTAGCTCGGATTGTCACTTATGACAACTACCATTGTCAGCGTGTTGCTCAAACTAATCTACGCACGTAGCCACACACTTCATACTGTAATTACTCCGCCAAAACACTAATTGGCGGTAGCGTCATAGCATCCACTGTCTTGACTTCCGCTGGCCAAGCCAACTAACCTCCTCATTAGCCCTACACTAACTTCAGTGGGCGCAAAATTATAATCGTGCATCCCTTGGAGACTTTTCAAATGTTATCGACCAAATGCTTCAAACTCTGACAGTGAAACGAGTCATTTCGCGGGGATTGTGACGCTCAAATAAATTCATCCACCATGTTATAGCGGCTGGAATGGCCACAATTGTAAAATTTACTTCAAAGCACTGAGCACCTTCTGTGGGCTTGAATGAAATGCGATGCTACCCAGCCAATCACAGTTCTTGCGATCTTGGTCTCTGCAACAAATAGTCACATTTTTGGAGAGGTGTGCGTCAGGCTACAGCGAAGGCTACGACGTAGGCTATGGCGTAGATTCGACGCAGAAGTATGAAACAAGCTTAAGCCACAGCTGCCCCATCAAAATGTATTGGAAAAAGATGGAAGTAATCATTTCCAAATTTCACTAAATTTTGCTAAATTACATTATATAAAAATCTATTTCGGCTCTAGTAGTTTATTTGTTACTAAGGTTATATATAAGGCCCCTTTTCTTTGCACAACGAATGAGTGTCCATCCCACCGAACTTCTGTACCAGATGGACTCTCATTTTGGGATTAGCCTGCTGCCTACATGTATTTATGTCGACGACACTGACTAGTTATATTCATTCAAGAAAGTTGATTTAATAAAAACAGACTAAAGTAAAGGATTTTGTTCCAGGATTTCTTCCCCCCCCCCCTTCTTTCTGATGACATCATAAAATATAACAGATATTCAAAGCTTCGTTACAAAACCTCAATAGAAGCTTCGAATGTAAAAGAAATAACGTTTGGTACAGCCAAACCAAACACCTGTTAATTGATTAGTGACGTAGTCCCTTCTGTCTGCAGTGTAGAACAGTGTTCAAACAACTTAATATTGTTTCTTTGATAGTACCTTGATAACTGTAGTTATCAAGCTTTGAACAAAGTCACAAGATCAATCACATCTCCTTTGTTCTTAGCCTAGTGTGTGGTGTAAATAGCCTGCTTGGCGTGGGAAAAATCCATGAAATCACAAACACTCGACTACTAACATTCATATTAAGGTAAAGGTCAGACGGGACACTTGTTTAAATACTTTTAAAGCCCAGCTGTGAACTCTCCTACACCACTCACCTTCTAACTACTGGTTGGCTAGATTAAAAATCCGTGAGCCTGTAAACTTCCCCCCATTCCCTTATAAAGATAACTATGTCTGTGGTGTGGGAGGTTGGGTTTGTGCTCCAGCTGGAGGTGGAGAGTGGAGGTGTTTGTTCATTTGTGGCAACTGGAGCACCTTCTGCTGAGGGTGTTAAACCTGACGAAGATAAAGCTGCTGCTCATGTACACATCAG